CTTGCCCGTCTTGGCAGCCATCATGAGGGGCGAGAGGCCGTCGTTGTTGAGCACGGCCTCCAGGTTGCTGTCGGGGAAGAGGCGGGCACACTTGAGCAGCAGGAGGTCGTACATCTTGGTGACGAACTTGGTGTTCTCCCGGGTGTTGTCGGCGATGGCCACCAGCGCGTGCAGCACGGTGTTGCCACGGGAGTCCTGCCGCCGCATGTCTGCCTTCTTGTGGGGGTTCTCTGTCAGGTAGTTGACGATGTGGGGCTGGTTGGTGCAGGCAGCCAGCGACAGGGGCAGCTCACCTGTGCAGGCGGGGAGGAGGGGGAGAAGTGGGAGGAACGGGTCAGTGAGGGGCCCAGCGGGAGACTTCGCCTGCAGATACTTGGGGGACAGATGCCGTGACCCGGACGCAGCACCCAAAGTCCATGGGAACGTGTCCTGTGGTGACTCCCCTTCTGTGGGTGATGCTGGGAAGACGGGTGTGGCTGTTTGGAGAGTGGCCATGTGATTTGGAGCCCGGGAGGCACTGTCCCTGAGCCCCACGTAACACGTGCCTGTGACAGGAGCAATACGCAGTCTCCCCCGGTCCAGCTGGGACGTGGGGGGCTGAAGCTTGGGCCCCACAGCCTGACCGCTGGTCCCAGCGAACACTGGACGGACCAAGGTGCCCCTGAACAGGTGCGGGTGCTGCACCCCCACGAGCCCATTGTGCAGACGGGGAAGCTGAGGTGCGGTGGCTCCCCTCCCTCCAAGGCAAGGCCTCAGCGACCAGACCAACGCGGGCCGTGCACGGGGCCCTCTGAGCCCTGGGTATGGGGGGAGGGGGGGTCAGGGCTGTGGGGACCACCGAGTACCTCCCAGCCCCCCGGCCTCCTCACCAAAGTAGAAGTAGCCCCCCTCGTCCTTGGGCTGGAAGAAGCGCCCCCGCGCCTGGGCGTGGACGTCGGCCCCCTGGGCCACCAGGAGCTCCACGTAGTGCTTGCAGCGGCGCTCGATGGCGATGTGCAGGGCGGTCTGGCCTGAGAGGGACGGGCACGGTCACCCGGCTCCAGCTCCGGCTCCCGCAGAGCAGAGGCCAGAGCTGTCTTGGAGGGGGTGGGGGTGCACAGTGTGGAAATGGGGGGGCTCAGGCCAGACCGCGGCTGGCTGCACCCAAGGGCAGCAATGGCTCCAGACAGATGTTCCCAGATGTGGCATCTCATGCAAGCAGGATCTTAGGCTCAAACGGCATCTGACTTGTAGGATCCCAGACACGGGAAACTTGCAGACTCACAAGCGAGTGGCCTCCCCACCCCCACCCCCACCCCCGGAGGAAACACCATCTCGTGGTCTCTCAGAGCTCTGGGCTCAGGGTCCGAAACCCACAGAACTGGAACCCTCCTGCCCGGAAACCTGAAAGGTCAAGTCTGAGCCACAGACTCAGAATTTAGACCCGGGAGCTGGGACTGACACCGTTGCCTCTTAGCGCTGTTGGCTCACAGCACTGCTACCCTAGAGCCTCAGCGTGCCCGGAGCCAGAGCATCCTGGGTCCGGATTTCCAAGCTCATGGCTCACTACGCTCCGTGCACCTCAGAACCTTGATTCTGAAACGCAGGAAATCAGAGTTCATTCATTCATTCATTCATTCATTCAACCATCGGTAGTTTCTCGGCACGTGCTGGCACGTGGGGCCCAGTCCAAAGCTCTCGGAGGTGAGGAAAGTGAGGCCGGAGCCCACTGCCACCCCCACCCCCTCCCCCGGGCCCACCTCGGTAGTAGATGTCCCGGAAGGGCGAGTTGATGAACTCGCGCATGTTGCCGGTGCGCTCGGCGATGTCCAGCAAGGG